GCTTTGAGCTTATAATTCAATTATACTTTTTGAAAAGGCTTGTCATGAGATTAAAAGCCTAAACGATTCAATTTTCAGTAGTTTTCAAGGCTCAAAAATCAGTAGCTACTGAAAAAAGAGCTTCTTTCAAGTAATATTTGCATATTTCATTTTGTAAAAAGGGCTTTTTAAAGACCGAATTATTTTGGCAGAAACAAATAAATATTGTATTTGGTCCTACTGGGTACATGCGTGGGCGTTTCGTGCAAGTGTGGGTGTGTGTGTGCTTTGCTGTATGTGCGGGTGTGGGCGTGGGGATGCGGGAGTGTGTGAGGTTCAACCTGCTTTTGGTACGTTGACTGGGTAATTTGTTAGTCGTACCAACAACGTGTCAGACAGTCAGCCAACCAGCCAACCAGCCATCCAGCCAGTTAGTCCGCCAACTCCACTTTTATTTTATATAGTTTTTGGGCATTTTCATGCCCTTTTTCCATTCTACTTACTATTTTTTTTTTTTTTCGGGGGCTGCGTGTGACGGTACAGTTTTGTGTGCTGTCGGTATATAAAAGCGTATTTACCTAGCGTGAAAAAAGGAGGAAGAAAAAATATTGAGCTGGCCTTATGTCGGCGCTTGGTTTATTTCGCTCGGTGTCAACCAATTTTGCGTGTCTCTGTTACTGATGTTGTTTTCTTTTATTTTCGATTTTCTGTTGTTGTTGTTGTTGATGTTTTCGCTATACATAGGTATATGTATGCATATATTTTCACATTGCCATTTTCATTTCAATTTATTTCATTTATTTATGCAGTATTTTATGTGCTGTTTTTGTTGATATTTCGTTATTGTTGTTCTTGTTGTTATATTCGGTTGGTTGTTCTATTAATTTGTTGGCGCTGTTGCGGCTCAGTGCGATTGTCAATTGTACATAAAAGTTGTGTGCCATAAACCTCGTTCGTCTTGATTTTTATGCCTTGTTTTCATTGTTCCCTTCATTTGTCGTTTCGTATACTTATACACGTACATAATAATAATAATATTAATATTATTATTTTTTTATGATTACATTTATGTTTATGTTCAATCCATTTCCTCTCTTGTCTAACAAATTGTACAGAAAAGAAAAACAACATTAATGAATTGTATATTAAAATTATGAAAATTCAACTAAGTAAGTTCATTTATCCACACACGCTGTAAATAACTCTTTTCTACTCCTTGTACAAAACAAAAATAACTTAATTGTATTCGTTTGTTTGTTTGTTTGTTAGTACATACCTACATATACATTGACCTTTTGTTTAACTTTACTACTGTTGTCACCAATTGAATCGTTTAAGTTGAATTTAAATTTCTCCATAATATAACCCTCTTGTACATGATTATGATGATTATCAATGTTTATTAATTCAAATGCTAACAAAATCATTATACCAAAGCAAACATAAAAAAAGACAAATTAATGAACATTTTGTACAGTAAATCGAGCAGCGAGTGAAAATCAATGTTTCGGCATAGTCGAAAGATAAAATACAATTTCCAAAATGCATGTGTGGAGTATTAAAAATATACAAGTGTGATATTTAAACTGATTTAATTATGAAACAAAGTAAATTTTTAATGCATTTGTAGTGCGAGGTTAAAATTTTAGTTCATTAAATGAGTTCCACAATGTTTGATTAGAGATTGCATTGCCTTGATGTGTGCCTGCCAATTCGAAATCAGTTTCGTGCGCCTTGCGGGTATGCAACACTATTTTTGTCAGTACAATTTTTTACCATAAATGGCCACTCCATTTGTTGGTAGGAGAATATTTATTATTATTATAATAATAATATAACTATTATTCTTCTGATATAAAAGCCTCAACCTCAATTCATAAATAATTAGAAATTTGAATTTTTAATGAGAAATTTTACTCTTTCATAAAAATAATAATATAATAATTTTTTTTCTTTATTTATTTATTAATGAAAACTTCTCAAATATAGACTAGACCTCATTTATGTCAGCAGTTCTAGGCTGAGTAGGCGTTTAAGTAAACGTTTTCCGTGGATTGTTTATGATCTCAATTTTTATATTAAGTGTTATGGTGTCAGCTCCATGCATTTGCAAATCTTGGAAAGTGTATTCTTGCCCATCAAACTTCATAATGGCTTAAAATCCTCGTAACGGTTTGTTGAGTTTCCATTGCTTGTCGTCCGCCAGCAAATCCCCCAATCCCTGTTTCCTTACATTTTTCCTTTTAATTAACGAGACACAGATTTAATTTGTTTGTATAAAGCCTGAAAACAAAATTCAACACATTTTGTATAATAATAAAAACAGCAGAACGCTCATTACTTCTTTTTTACTTACTCTGTCACACTTTGTTTTTCTAATTCAATTTCGAAAAAAAGCAAGAAAAAAACATAACAGAAACAAAATAGATGCAAAGGAAATCAGCAACATTTTGTTAAATGTTAAATGTACATCAGCACAAGCAGTGCTATGCCATGCCAAATGAGAATTTGAAATGAAAACAACTACAAAAAAAGATTTAAATATATATATATATATATATTTTGTATACATATTTGTATATGATGATGAAATGTTGGGATGGGCTGCCCGGTGACCGCTAGTATAATTGTCTCATTTAACAATTACTCTTATGTACTTTCTTCTTAATACTACTACTTACTGCCTAACCCCAACTGCCTAACCACTACTACTACTTTACTTAACTTACTTAACTTACTACCCTACTACTACTACTACTCTCTATTCGTACTTCTACTACTCTTCTACTACTACTACTACTATTTGCTGTATATGTTCACTTCAATGTTGTATGTTCTTCATTTCTCATTACATTTCGTTTAAATAAATAAATATATATATATACGTATATATGTATATATGTGTGTGTGTGTGTACCTACGTGTTCATATTTTTTCATTCTTCCGTTTCTTGAGTTACCTTTTAACGTGTGTGTAATTTAATTAATGTAATTTAAACATGAAACTCAACAATTTCTGCTCTCAGTTGTATTTTTTCATTTTGTCGTTTTCGGGTTAACTTACAAGCTCTCTAACTCCTTTTTATATAGCTCTGTCATTTTTCATACTCTGTTCTAAATGTTGTGTGTGTTTTGGGCTACAACTAATCTTACATAGCCTGTTTTATATATATATATATGTACATGTGTGTGTGTGTGTGTGTGTGTGTGTGTGTGCGCGCACTGATATCAGAAAACACAGAAACAAAAAAAAATGTAACCCCAACTACAAAGTATTATAATTTACTTTTTATATGTGTCGTTTTTTGTTGTTGTCATGATATATGTACTCGTACTACTATATGCTCCAAATGCTTAATAGTTGCAAACTGACCACACACACACACACAACTCCATCCATCATAGACACACACACACACATACATATACACTCTCAGCTAAGTACACCTATGTTTGCGATATGCTTTGTACAACTCATAAAGCGTAGTTGCTACTTAATTACAACCATTATTCAAAAACCTGACCACCTATCCCTCCACTACCACTACCACCCACACTCCCACTCCCTGGCGAGTCCTTCTCCTGCCATTTGGCCACACACACTACCACCACCACAACTACTCTCCACAGTACATCATTTTCATTTTAGTCTCTTTACTTTTTTGTTGTTGTTATTTATTTTGAACGCACCCAAACGCTTTAAATCTGCGCGTGTTTGTTGTACATTTTGGCGCCTGTTTTTTAATTTAGTAGTTGAAACCAAAAAAAAAAAAAAAAAAGAAAAACCTATTTGTTGTGCCTTTTAGCTGTACACATTTTGTACTACAATTATATGCCTGTATGTTGTTGTTATGTGTTTATAAAAATTTTGAAAATAAAAACATTTTAGTTACAATTAACTTTTACCACAACTCTACATTTAAAAGTATGAAAACAAAGAGAGGACCCTTTACCAGAAAAAAAAAGTACGATAATATATATGTGCCACGCGCGCGTTTGCTTTGAAAGCAAAAAAAAAGAAGTATAATATACTAGTTATTCCTTTACAACATAATTTAATTTAAAATATTTCTGTTTTATTCAACTGGTATGCTCATTTTGTTTTTGGCTGCAGCAAGCAGTCAAAATCCATGTATTTGTGTTATTCTCATTCTTAGTTTTTAACGTGTTGTGCTTTTCAGTTAAGTTCTAAAGTTGGCCAAACAATGCTGCCAAAGTCCCTGACGACTCAAAAGGCTACAAAGTTTGGCATTGCGTGTAAAGGCAAACCAAATACAACAAAAATATTTCTATACATACAAAAAAAAAAAAATGAAAAGAAAAGACTGAACTTTTGTTTTTGATTCATTTCTTAACGCTGCTTTAAACATACTTACTTACTTACTACTACTACTACTATATTACATTCAACAGAAATTGTTGTTGTTTCTCCTCCTGTGTAGCACTCGAAGCTGCCGTTGGGGGCCGTAACCTCGGTTCGGGCAAAGTGCGCGCGACATTTTTGCTGATTTAAAGAGCTGCACATTGCCATTTATTTTCCGCAATTTTCTCTCTTCACATCAACAAGCAGCCGCCGCCACTTAATTAAACAAATTTCTCTGCTAAATTGCAGTGGCATGCTTTGCGGTCAGCATTGTCGTCAATAAACCACGACTGTGCCACAGAACTGTGCACCACGACTGTGCCCGCCTAACCGTGCCTCAAAGCGGCAGCTTTGGTTGCTATGCTAGGGAAATCTTTTAGCTCCTTTGTAGACATTGTTTACTTACAATTTTCTTTTAGTTGAAATCTTTGACTAACTTTCTTTAATGTGTTGCTACTAACCTAACCAATGCCTATTACTACTACTACTTTCCTTTTCAACTAGTACTTGTACTACTACTATTACCACCACAACTTCTACTACTACCAATACTACTCTACTACTGCTACTATTCCTTCCTACTTCTATGTGTTTGTCGACGACATATCATTTGCTATTTGCATTAATTGAATTTTTGTTTGTGCTTTTAAAATAATCATGTCCCCCAGACTTTTGCAAGGGCCGTGAGACTTTACAGAATCTCTGCGATCAAATACCGGGCGATGCGCTCCTATACTCGTTGTTTCGAGAGAGCGCCGAACCGGTCAAATGTCCTCTGAAAGGTGCGTATAACTCTCAGCTCCTCATCTTAAGACCAAAATTTCAAACTGTTCTGCTTATTTGTTCTAGGTCCCTTCATCTTCACCTACAATCGTGGTCATGGCGAGTGCAAATTCCCTGTATCCAACATTGAGAGCTGCACCGAAGACAGTCGCTTGCTGCTCAGTTTTCAGGCCTGTCCCGATGTGCTGGCCACCGAGAGTACCGGTAAGTTAAAACTCTATACTATAATTATATGAGAGCATAAATAATGGTACCATAAGTAAGAATTTCTGAAGTTTGTACTTTTTATTGCTTTTGCTTTCCTGACAATAACGTATGATTTTTCTGTACCACTCGCCCTCATATCTTTTTATTTCCTTTTGCAGTCGAGGAATTAACCTGTCTGGCCACTTGGAAGGATGGCAACTCACGCTATTTGGTTGGCCTGGTTTCGCATCATCATGCCATCTCGAATGAGGAGCGCTATCGTTGCTTTGTCTACGAGAAAATATCCGCCTTGATGGGTAAGTGAGCGAAACAAGTGCTGCAAACAAACCGCGTATTGTTTACACTTTAAACATCCTTTTATCCTTTGCACTTGCAGGCGGTCCCAGCATGCTAACCTCCAAGGATGCCGAATATAAGCTCGCACAATCCGGCGACGCCACTTGCAATGGCTTAGACAGCGCCGATGTAAGCACTTTGTCTGACAAACCATCCGCGCCTTCCGGCCAAATCATTTTCACTTAACTTCTGACCCCAACCCTCTCTTTTTTCTCGCCCTTTCGCATCGCGAATCGCGCAGGTCGGCTCACGTATAATGTCGCTGCGCAAACCACCGGTCCCAGAACGATGTGATTTTCCAGCCTGGTTTAAGGGTCCACGGCACTGGCATGCTCTCATGGGCAATCCTGTCTACAATTTTCATTCCAAGTGAGTAAGCGCGTCACTTTCGTCTCAACTCGTCGCTGCCGTTGCCGTTGCCGTCGCCGCCGGCCAGACTGTCAGCTAACAAAATTGTTCTAATTCTCTTCCCTGTCTCCTGTTTTTGATTTCCGCAGTGATGGGTCCGTGCACATTATTAAGCCCAACGGCTATATGGAGACACGTGCGTTCTGCGAGCAAATAAACAAACAGACCGCAACCGAAATGATGGCTGTGGTGCACTACACAACGGGCTGGTAAGTGGCCTGAAATTGAAATGGGTCCACATTTCACATCTAAACAAAACTCAATTTTGCAGTCAATCTGGTTTCATGTGCATGATGTTCTATCGTCGTGACACGCACGTCATTGAGATACAAACGGGCAAACCGGCCATACGCTTGGAGGATGCCTGTGCCCCGGATCACTTTGATATCAATAAGATGGCCTACATAACGTTGTTAGGTGCGTACATTTTGACCCCGCATTTAAAAGTAAAGAGCTAACTATTTTCTCAAAGTTCACACATATATTATGAAGATGATGTTAACTCAATTAAAACCAATACGAGTTCTATACTTTAGTAGACTTTTCTGCTATAAAAAAGGTCTTGCATTCAGTTTTCGAAACTTACTTGTTTCGATCACTACTCTTCCCACGGTTTTACTTTGACAGCGAAAATTATATTTGTAGGGCACAGATAATATGTTAGGATCGACGATGTCGGACGGTTTACAAGTACCGTTTAGGGTAACTACATTCGGTTTTATGTTTTTGCTTTTTTAGTATACTTAAACCATTTTATGGTACATAAAATAAATGATTTCACTCCCAGAAATAGATAGTCGTATATAGTACTTAAATAATTTTATGGTGTATTTGATTTCCGACTTAGCTCTAAGAAATGTATAAGTCCTGATAGGTTTTGGGCTAAGTTGAGCAAATTGGCGACTTAAATAACTGTTTAAAATATTCAACGCAAATAAAGCAATAACATATATTTTAAATCTTTTACACATCAGATAAAACTTACGTGGAGTTAATCTTAATGGGATTAATTGAAAGATGATTAGTATTACAGAAAAAAGAGAATATGTAGGAAGTCTGATGAAGCAGTAATTTCTTATTAATTGTTCTTTTTATTGGATATGTTTGCGGCTCTTAAATATAGTTTTCTGATTGTTATGTTATGCTTTTGTTATTATTAGATTAACTTGAAATTAAGACTGTTTTGTTTCCCCACCATAAAGATTCTACGGTTCGAGTTTTTATATTTATTTTGTCAAGGAACAGGAGATTTTTACAGATTTTTACAATTGAAACCTAGTATAAAAGTTGATAAGATATTATATTTATTTTCATCATGGCAATGGTATAATTAGGTACAAGTTTCTAAGAAAAATTTTACATTGTGCAGCTAAAGATTTGATAATGCTAGTTATTATGGGTATTATGAAGCTATGATTGAAACAATTTCTCTCATTCAACAGCGAGCAATCCGGATCCACAAATATGCCCCATGGAGGGTTTGTACAATTTACGCGGCGCCATTGGGCCACCCTATCAGGCCACACGCCACAAACGTAATCACAATGGCAAAACGCATCTGGGCCATGGACACCATCATCATGAGAGCGCAGATGCTGGCGGTTTTGGCCACAAAGGGTATAGCGACCACTTTCAAGCCCCCCCTTTGTCGAATAACGAGCATTTCTCCTTTCTCGTTGCAGGCACAGCTCTTTAAGCTTTCGCAATGCCGAACACATCGAACGTGGCTCCTGGCGTGCCAACACCAGAGGCCTGCCCGTCCGTAGTCGACGCAATGTGCCCGCCTCAGCCGCATCCACCGCCAATACAACTCAGCAGACGCTTCTGCTGAGTCCCGTCAACGAGACGAACGTGGACCTTGTGGCCACGCGCAACAGACGGGACGTGCCCGGCTGTGTGACTAACTATAAGGCGCAACGCCAACTCTGGGTGGGCTGCACCGCCCCAAATTTAATAGATGTGCGTCCGCAGTGCAATGAAGATGGTGAGGAAGGTAAGCAATTCAATTAAATGATACCTAGGCTTAGTCTAGGGCCTAACAATCTCCTATTGTTGTTTGCGGAATATAAAGAAAGTGGTGAAGATTTTAAGCATTTAAAAAAACATTAACTTTTATATTAATTTTTTAAATTACAATTCCGATCAGACTAAATATGTCTTCCTGATTTTTAACCGCAAATGAATTCCCAAGTATATGACACTTTAGACACTTCTTTCATAACAAAAATAGTGTCGCCTCTAACGGCATTTAAATTTGGTAACAAATTCGTGCCGGTTTTAAGAGAACGACTAATCGGTTTTAACGATAAATCTAATACTAATTAATTTGTTATTCTTTGTTTCAGAGTATTCCTGTCACGGTTCTTGGACTGAGAACGGCACCACCTACATAATTGCACGGCACAAGAGCACCAAGCACGGGGTGTGCATCAGTTATAGGCCCACGGAGGGTACAGCCGCCAAGCTGGTCGTTGGCGATGCCTGTTACCGCGGCTCACAAAAGCCGCCGGATCACCATCTGGTGGCCAATCTGTCTGTGTTTGGTAAGTATAGTAATGATTGCAATTGCGCAAAAAATTGGCCACTAATTGGAATTCTTGTGCTTCCCAACAGGCAAATGCGGTGAAACGGGCTCGGGAGCCATAAAAACGCACTTAGACTTGGCTAATTGGCTGGTCATGGCGACTGTTGCCAGTCTGGGGACATGGAGGGCGTTGCGCAGCTGAGTGGGCAAATGGATGAGGTTGCTTTAATTGGCCGCTGCTAACACTTTTGACTGCACAACAACAATTCATATATAAACTAAACATAAATGCTGCAAAAGCGTCCCTTGGCGAGCCAAACAAGCCCTACTCTTAATGCTACACTAGCCCCCAAAAGACGATGAACATGTATACAAGACACATTTAAGACTTATTGTATATTGCATATGTATATGTAAGGAGGAAAGAAACCAACCAAGAAATCAACCAACCAACACACATTTATTTTGTTTTGCTGTATATAATTTATTGTTTATTGTGAGAACACACTTTTACTTTAACGATTTTGTTTAGTTTTAAGTGCTTAAATATAAAACTTGAGATTTATATATTAATATATATATGTGTAAGTAAAATGCAAAGAAAAAGAGAGAATAACAAATACATTCACAATATGGAAGGAAAATGGTTTGCAATAAAGCCTTAGAGCAAGCGCTGTTTGTATTTAGGCCTACTTAGTGAAACGCGTCAGTTATATATTTAGTGTAAAGAAGAAAGCATACTAGTATGTATGGGAAAAATGCTATTTATTTATAACAATGTAAGGCAAAAGCAAACACACACACAAACAACCAACTATACGAATATAAGCTATAAGCTTTTTTCGTTTTAAATGCAACTTTTAGTGAAAGAAAAAGGTGTTTGTTTTTATTAAAATATTTTTCGTGTAAGTCTACGATAACTAAATGCATTTATTTTTCTATATTTATCATTTCCAAAATGTTTCCTACACACAAATACTATAAACGTTTTTTAGCAACTATACATTTTAAACATTAAACTCTGTGCTTGTTTTTGGAATTGTTTATCGATTTTTTTGTTTATTTTATTAAATATTTTTTTTTTTTGAAATGTACAAAACTTACAAAGCACGCAGCTAAAAAAAGAGAAAATAAACTTGGCGCTGTTTTCAATGTTAAATAGATGTATGCGTTCAAGCTATATATATATATATATATATATATATATATATACATGGCATATACATATATACATATATTTTTATGTACAAAATGCAAAATAGTACATAGATTTAAACAACAAATACATATATATATATTGTATGAATATATAGTATATATAAATAATGTTTTGCATAGGATCGCATTGGTTTCATAATAATTAATACCTTGCAAAATGAACACCAACACACACACACATACATATGTACGAAAAATCATTATAGTTATAATAATAATTTAATAAAAACAAAACAGCGTAAAAAGATTAAGTAAAAATAATAAAGCAGAGCAAAACATTTGAGCAAATCTAATTAGTAGCACACACACACAAAGACATCGCAATATATGTATGCATATGTATGTATATTGTGTAATCGAATCAATCATTTTCTTTAAACACAACAACCAGTGGCAACAACAAAAACAAATTGCGCAACAATGCTGCATAATATTTAAACAAAACAAACAAACAAACGAAACAAAATGGCATAATAATTAGATTGTTTAAGACAATTAAGCGGTGATATAGGTCTAGAATAAACAACAACAACTGTGTAGAACTCTTATGAACAGCAGCACAACAACAGCAATAACAACATGCAGCGGAAAGGAACAGCAACAGCAACAACCACAAGAACAAGAAAAACAACAGCATATATTGCAGCTTAGTTGTACTCGTAGGCCAGTTAAATGGAAAATTAAAATTGAAATTGCAATTAAGGAGACCCAGACCCGTATGCGAGAATCCAAAGGATTACACAAAATAGCATTTTTCCAACCCTCCACTCCCCACAAAACCAAACAAAACTAAACACAATGAAGAGAAAACTAAATAATGTATTAAATAGAAATGTCAAGCTCGTCATGTAATATGCAAAGGCAAAAAATTGCATCAAGGAGTAGACAAAGTAAGAGGAATAAAAAGTAAATCATTTTCAATAAAATTAGTCGAAATTTTTGAAGCTTTGAAACATTTGAGTTCCCACAAAAATAAAATCACTGTAAATAGCGAATGATGTGCGAATTGAGCAACTAAATTGAAAGCGTTTATGCAAATGTATGTAACTGTAACTGTACTGCTAGCTAGCAAAAGAGAGAAAGGCAGAGAGCGGGAGAGTGAGGATTGAGCGCATGTGCAATGACTTGATCTGGAAATATGAAGAGAGGATGGTGAGCACACAAAACGAGAATTAAGAAGAACATAAGAGTTACTTTTTAAGTACTACATGTATATTTCAAATATATAGTTATATATATAAACATAAATTATATAAACTCGAAGAGCAGACGGCAGACGACAGCTAGGGGCGTACCCAGACAAAAGACAAAAAGACAAACTCACAAACAAAACCGGAACTCAACCAGCTCATAAAATCCAAGCAGAAATAGTAACAGAAATAGAAGAAGAAGTGCAAACGGTAACGGAAACATGCACTCCAGCACTTAGCAGGGGACGGGCGGGTAGGCACGTGCACAGATTTGAGGCGCCCGGGGCAAGACAAATCAATAAGCAAGAAAAAAAAACAAAGAAGAAGTAATTTGTATGTTGGAGTGCATGAATTGATAAAACAACAAAACAAATCGTAGCAGTTGCAACAGTTGCAGCCGATAACTAACATATTTTTTTGAGTGTACCTCTCTTAAATAAGTATTTCAATTTGTTGTCAGCTTTTAAAAAGTAAATATGTAATAATAATTAAATAATAATAAAACTAACGATTAACGCAAGAATGCATTTTAAAACCACACAACAGAATAAAACAAAGCAAAACTAACAACAAAACTGCAAACAATATTCTTTAACAAAATCGAAAAAAATTAAGCCAAGCTCCCCTCCATAATCAGTTCATTTAAAAGCTATGTTGTGTTTACACCATATTTTTAAAGCAAATACAGTATTATCTATATAATTCCGACAGTTAAAAAACAAGACCCTGTTCGAATGACCGAAGAATAATTAACAAGTGTTATTAGCGAACTTCCGATGTGTATTCGTTTTTAATACATTTTAATTATCAGTGATAAATTTATAGGTTTTTGAAAAACTAGATTCATTTTAAACTATTTTCATAAAGTATTGTTTTTATTTCAGGTACTTTTTCTGTTTACAACACCATTATAAAAACATAATATCCATAAATTCAACAATCTCATAAGAAAGATCATATCTTCAAAATAATATCAAAATACGCAAATTCACGTAGAAATCAAAGAATATCGGAAAGTGAAAGGTCTGATAGTCGTCTACAACAGAAAACAACAGACGAGTCGGATTTATAAGATAGTACTGTGTTGGAGACCAATATTTATAGCAAATATCGGAAAAAATACAAATCGAAGCCATCATATATCATCTTTGAGACAAAATTCTGTCCCATTTTCGATTATTATTAGTGTCTAATATTTGCTTAAAGGATAGTGTAAACATACCCCAATAGTAACTCATGATTTTATCTCTCGCATTTATTTGATTAATTGCTTAAATATTTTATTTTGCAATTGTTAGGCTCAAACACTTTACTGTTTCGTCCCCATCCTGGCCCCAAAAACCCCTTTCGCTTATTCTGTTTGTGAAAACTCTAACGTGTTACCGATGTTCCACACTGTCTCTTCAACCAGTTTTCGATGTTCTCTTTAAGAAACCAAGAAACAAAACAAAAAACAACCAACTAAAACTAAATCGAAAACAACAAACGTAAATCATGCATACATACATATGTATTTTTGTAAATAGTTGAAGCAACGCTTGAATTTTTATCCATTTTTTGTGTATGGCCAACTGCAGTCGCTGTGTGGGTCCACGTCCACCCGCACCCTCAGATCGCCCGTCAGCCGGATGGCAGTAATAGGGCGACGGTACGTACTGGTCGGGGACAGTGCGTGTATGGATGGATGTGAACACGCTAAGCATTAGAGATAAGGGATTTTTATATTTGAAGGGTTTTATAAATCATTTTAAATGTCTATTTTAACGAATGCAAAAAAAAAACCAACAAACAAGCGCAAAAAATGTAAACAGCAGCAATAAAAGGCGGTTTATTTAGTTTGATGTGTGTGTGAAGAACAACTTAAGGAATTTTTCGTCAATGTGAATGTTTTGAATCCTATGTTAATATTTTGTTTTGACTTTTTTAAGCTAATGAAAATAAAAATATGAACTAATTAACTACAAATAAATCAAAGTGGTTTGCATTTATTTCAAATATTATTAGTTGGAGTTGGACCGCTAATAAGGACTTGGAATTATATTTGCTAATAATGCTGTGACTCAAAGACTCCGAAATCTGGCGCTACTTTACTCCCAGGCTATATAGTATATTACATTTGAAGGGATTTATGTCGACCATTTCCTGTGAGTGGTTTTCTTTTTTGATAAATATCGATGGTGCCTTTTTTTTTTATTATAATTGTATTTCTTGCGAAAGCTCTGAAGTTAATATTTCTCAAGAACACTTCCATATATAGAATGATGCAGATTACATTATACTGATTTGGTTTTAATGGCGTGCTTAAAGTCGGCATCGTATATGTGAAACAAGAAAGGAATGCTAAAGTCGAGCGAGCTCGCTTAAATACCCTGTACCTGCAACCATGGGCGGCGATGTTATTTATGACTATAACTTTCTTCAGAATTGACCTATCATGATGGCCTATTGGCATACGGACAGATAATCACTAACTGGATGTAGTTACCAAATTATAGTTTAAAATTATAAAAATTACGGGAATTTTCGAAAAAAACACAAATTGGGGGTGTATCAGAAAAAAACAAACTCGTCTTTTCTCGGACTTAGGAGAATCTCGATACCAAATTTGGTTATTCTAGCTCTTATACTTTCTGAGATCCTTGCGTTCATACAGACGGACATGGCTATATCGACTCGGCTTGTCACCCTGATCAATAATATACATATATACTTTGTGGGGTCTGCCAATCCTCATTCTGTCTATTACATACATTAGCACAAAACTAGTATACCCTTTCACCCTTTCGGTACAGGGTATATTAATACACGTATGTATATGGTGTGATTTTAGTCTTTGAGGTATAAGCCTTTTATTGGCGCCCGCTCGCATTAAATCTGCTTCTTCAATATTGTGCTCTGATCTGATTTAGTGAACTTGGAATCCGGACGCATCTTGGCATTGCAAAAATGTCATCTTTAGCAGTTCTCTAAATATTTGTAATATTTTGGTTCATTTCATTTTTATAATCTACTTACTTTTATTTAACAACTTCAATAAAACAAATAAATATTTTTTTTGCTTTTTTATTTAATTTAATTTTATTCTTTGTTTATTGCATGAATACACAATAATCATTTTCCAGCTTGCAGCAGTTGAACATGGTTGTGTATCCGCCTGCTCGACATCCTGGTAAGTCATCCTCGAAATCTTCTGGAGCTTTCACCGGTAGCAACCGCTTCTCGCAACAGTCCCATCTTCGGTCTTCGGTTTGTGATATGGTTGAAAATTATCAAATCTCTTTGTTCATACATTTGGGAGGGGGAGGTTTTTAAGTTGGTATAACAATACCGAAATGAAGGTTAAGTTTTTAAAACAAAAGGTGAGTTTGCATGTGTTTAAAGATTCAGAAAAGAAAGGCATCCAGAACCTCCCCCCAGAAAACGGGATGCCTTTAATAAATGCATTCTTTCGTTTTAGAAGTACTCTATATATGTATATAGAAGGATTTTATAAATGTGAATATAAAGGAGCTCGGTTTGTTTAAAATAAAGAAGCAAGTTTTTAAATGTCTTTTATTAATGATTAGATTAAAAGAAATAAAAACTGATATTCATGTTTCATAACAA